GCGTCTGCATGGTCTGGGTCAGCTGATGAAGGTTCTGAGCAAGCTGCTCGTTGGTCGGGGTCTCCGGGGTGCGTGCGCGAGGACGAGGAGGCATCACACTACTACAACAACAACACGATAAGAGAAGTAACAAACAAGGAACAGAAAAAACACACACAGCTCACCGCGCAACCTAGAGTCCTAAGCCTAACACTTAGCTACTTAAGGTCGCTTAGAGGTCTCAAAACACACTTAACCACTTAGAAAGTCTAGACTTAACTCTTCCTAGGCTCAAAACCTAGGCTCTGATACCAACTGTAACACCCCCCAAACACGACCTATATAAAAGGCCTTAACACCTGCAGATCATACACAAAACTAGCACAGTGGAAGAAGATAAAACGAAACTGCATAAAAGAAATCCAAACGGGTTGTTATGCCACGTCTACCAAACACGGTAAACGCTACGGCGATCAATCTGCAAGTATCATACATAGGTAGGGTATATATACAAAAATAATTTCGGAACGGAATACATATATATAAGTGTAAAACCGAGAGTAAACACCAACTCAAGACTCAACACTCATCAATAAACACCACGGGAACACATCCCAAGACCACAACGGATAATGACACCACAAGGATAAAGACACGACAAACGGCAACACATGCCTAGGAATCACATGCCTTTGTGACTACACACGTCACAAGAGAGAATACACAACCACGGCTACACAAGCCCTCGTGACATGATGTGGATCTTTCGGGGTGAACTCGAGATTCGATTAACCAAAGAGCCCTCCGGTTGCCCGATCTTTTCCTCACCAAAATGACAGGAACAACAATTACGGTTTATGGGTGTTGGAGATGGAATTGGTTGATGTAGGGGCTGGATTTGGGATTATTTTTGTGTTTTTGTATAAGGATATTTCTGCCACACCTTGATCTTAGGTGATAAGGAATGGATGGCACCACAAGATTGGTATTATCTTGATAAGCTTAAAAGAACATCTCTCAAAACACAAGAGAGACAACAAAAATGCCTAGCATTTCTTTCATTCAACTTCATTCATCTATATCTCTCCAAAATTCTGATTGTGTTTAGCCTTTAAATAGGCTAATACATAACTCTCAAGGATATCAAAAGACTCCATTACAAGGCAATGAATGATACTCATTCATCCTAGACATGTAACCTAAAATAAAATAAATATAGCAAATGAATAATATTAAAACTATACTAAATGAGAATTTATTTCCCCTAATGTATTGAGTTTAGCTTCATTTGAATTTCTTGAGTCCATCTTTCTCCCAAATTGCATGGATTAATCCATTTACAACCCGTCGCAATTTCTTAGCTTTTGAACTTGTAATTGTGACTTCTCTTATTTGTATGTTGATCTTTGAGCCTTTGGTTGTCCTCATCATGACATCACCTGCCACGAGTTGATATGTCTTCCTTATGCCCTGTTCCAACCTTATGGCTACCCCCAACCTTATATCTAGTTCCAACCTTTACCTCCAGGACCCCTGTACATACAGTCCAACCTTATTCCCCCGAGAATCATCATTCCCCCTCTAACAAACCTCCAACAAAAACCACCGATTCATAGTACACCAGGTACCGATCACGCACATGGCACACATGCCCGGATAACACATGTTATCCCCCAAAAACGTGAACCTTACACAAAGGCCACAGCTCCATAATCACGCCACGGCCACCACGAGGACCGCTGCAATACCTTGGTGACTAGTGTCCCATACCACTAATCGTGCAATCCAAGTAAAGCCACACACGCACCACAACTCAACAAGAGTCAAACTACGGATCACAACGAAGGTATGAAACATACTCAATCAAGGAACAGGTCACAGCCCAACAACAACAACGATGAGTAACACAAGTTATCATCAACCAAACAGAAGGTACAAACCACACACACGCAAGCATTAAGACAATAAACTAGCATGCTTAACAACGGAGAAACTCAAGATAGTTCCGAGGAAAACACAAGACACCTCTCGGTCCAACGAAACACAATGTTGAACACTTAGCATGATTCAAGACACCAAAGTCCTACATGGATACCTACCATATAGTTCTAGACATACGAAACATCAAGAAGACGCTCAAACAAAAGAACATCAGAAAGTCAAAAGACCAAATACTGAGCCAAACGAATCACGGGGAACAAATCCCGATCAAACTCCACTGTGTTCCCCGCGGGTGGACCCACGGGTAGGCCCCTACCCGTGGTTCTGCCCGCGGGTACACTACCCACAAGCCTATGTACCTGCGGGTGGGCGGCGGGTAGGGCTCTCCCCGTCGTTCCGCCCGCGGGTACATACTCCTGTGCAAAATAATCCCTTCGGGGATTTTCCTCTCCAAACACAAATTCAAGTCCAAAACATGCCAAATCTCACCAAACACAACAAAATGACTTGAATCATGGAAAATGCCAAGCAATGGCACAAAGGAACCCTAAACACAAGCTCTAGATATGCATTTTCACAAGACAAATGAATAAACCCTCACATTTCATAGCAAAGCACAAGTAGAATCCAAGAAATCACATATAGGTAAGAAAAATAGGTTTTAGTAGAGCATGGGTTACCTCTTGTAGACCAAAAGACTTCACTTTACACCTCACAAGCTTCTTACAAGGCTTACTTTCTAAACCCACTTCAAGATCAAACCAAAAGATCATAAAGATCCTACCTTTAAGAAAAAAGACAACTAAGATGGAACCAAAAACACAAGATAGACTTAGATCTTACCCTCCTAGATGCCCAAATAGGTGAAAGGTTGAATCTTGGAAGCAAATCTTGGAATCTTGACAAGGGTCTCAACTTAGCTTGGAGAATAAGCTACACTTCTTTTCTAGAGAGAAGGTAGAGCTAATTTCTAAGAATTGTAAGGAATGAAATGAAGAAGTCTTCTAGGTTAGGTTACAATACTAACTCTTGGTGAAAAGTCAAGAATACCCTTACTAAGCTTTAGAAAGTGTAAGGAACAAGGGAACTCCCTCAAAGCTCAAGGTACAACACAACTTTAAGGTTGACTAGTCAAATACTAGTCCTTGAGTTTAAAAATCAGGATTTTAGGAATTAATTCCTCAAATGAAATAGGATTAATTACTCAATTAATCCATGGATTGAATGTGGATTTTCGGGGTGTCACATGCTCCATAGAAATCACGCACCTGAGGTCCTCTAGGGCGGGTCGACCGAGTATAATGTTGTGGGCGCAACTGATTTTAACGACTACGAACTCGACCTCCCACCTCCTGGTGTGAGGTGGGGTGCCTATCTCCACCTCCAAATTGATCGACCCCTCCGTCTCAATTGAGTCCCCCGTGAACCCAGACAAGGGGGTCCGTACTTGCTCCAGCTGCCCCCTTGAGAGTCCCAACTGGGCGAACGTGTCGTAGTACATGACGTTCACCGAGCTACCCGTGTCTATGAGCACCCGGTGCACCACCACGTTGTTGACGTCCAGCTTGACCACCAAGCGTCTCGGTGGGGGAGGGGCCCGTCAGGTAGGTCGGCGTCGGTGAACATGATGGGCTCCCTTTTTGGTTTCTTCTCGTGGGGTGTTCGTGTGACCTCCCCCACGTACAAGCTTCTCGCCCACTTCTTCCGCTCGGCTGGTGAGTCCCCTCCCTCGGGCCCCCCAAAGATGACGTAGATGGCACGCTTCTTCGGGGGCTGGGAATCCTCTGTTGTCTTCTCCTCCTCCTCGGAGCTGTTGTCGTGGTGGTCCCTCTTACGGGGAGCCGAGGTGGATGGAGCTTGGCCACCCCCCTTCCTCCAGCCTTGCTTCTGGCCCTGCGCCTGGCCTTGCGCCTGGCCGGGCCTCTTAATGAATTGGCCGAGGTAACCAATTTGGATGAGCTCCTTGATTTGTCTCTTTAAGAGGATGCATTCGTCTGTATCGTGCCCCTTCTGCCGGTGGAACCTGCAGTACTTGTTGGGGTCTCCCCTCGCCGATATCTTCATGCACTCCTCCTTCGGGAATACCACGATTCCCTGGTCCTCCGTGTGCGCCAAGATGGTACCCACAGGTTGTGTCAGCGGGGTGAGATAGCGTGTGGGGTTCAGCCTGGGCCCCTCAGCGTACTCACGTCGGTGTGGCCGCGGCGCCTTGCGCTCCTCCTGGGGTGCCTTGTCTTTTCGATCTCTTCCTTCCTCCAGCTCATTCTTCTGCTTCTCGGCAGCCTCGGCGTCAGCGTACCTTGCTGCCTTGTCCATCAGGTCCGTATAGGTCCTGGGGGGTACCTGATGAGGTCCTGGTGAAAAGCGTCTGACCTCAAGTTGTTTCGGAAAATCACCATGGCCGACTTCCCATCAAAGTCGGCGACCCCCATGGCCTCTTTCTTCCACTTGCTGAGGTACTCAGCTAGTGATTCCGAGCTCTCATGCTTCAAATTACACAGGTCGGCAATTTGCTTCTTCGGCTGTATGCTAGTGGCGAAATGGGATAGGAACTGCCGGGTGAGGTCCGCAAAGGTGGAGATGGACCCCGCCGGGAGGGATCCGAACCAATCATGCGCCTGCCCGTCCAGGGTGGCGAAGAACCCCCTACACAGGATGGCGTCTGTTGCCTCGGTGATCATCATGGCGGCTCTGTACCTGGTCAGGTGTGCCCGCGGGTCCGTGGTCTACGAGTACGCTTTAATGGTGGGAAAGCGAAAATCTCGAGGTAAGGGTTCCTCCATGATGGTGTTTGCGAACGGGGAGGACAACACATCCTGGGGCTCTGGAGATCCGTCCCTCTCGTCAACCTTCCTCTAGAGCTCGTCCATCCTCCTCCGCAGCTGCTCGACCTCTACCCGATGGGAGCTCGGAGCTCTACCCTTCGTTTCACCCGATTGTTCGACCCGGGAGGCCTGCTCACGTCGCGGGCGGGGTCGGGGGACCCGACCTGCGGACCCGCGCGAGGCTGCCTCCTGTCGCGGCTGGGCGCGAGGCCCATAGCTCGGCGACCTCCGAGTGACCGATTCTTGTCGCAGCGGCTAGCGGAAGCATGACTCCGCCGCCGGTGGCCCGTTGGCTGGCCTCGGACCCAGCCTATCCCGGGCTGTCACGCGATCGCCCAACCTCTCCAGGGCGGGCCTAGTTTGGGTTGGTGCCCTTGCATCGCCGTCACGCTGGCGGTCTCGGCGGGAGTCCCCTCCTCCCCGCCTCTCCGATGGTCGGGGCGAGTTAACCTCCCCCTGGGTGATAGGTGCCTGGGGCGGCCGGGTGCTTGGACCGTTGCGCCCCCAGGTGGGAGGAAGTGGAGGCGTCGGCGCCCCTCCGGTGGCGCCTAGGGCGGCTTGTTCTTCTGCCCGGAGGCCCGCCGTGACGCGCGCTAGCGCGGTGGAGGCTTGCTCAAAGACCACCACACCCTCCTGGATGAGTGCGCAAGCCGGAGCGGGGGCGACAGGGGATGGTGGCGGTGCACCGCTGCTACGGTGGTTGGTGAGCTGGGCCCTCAGATCCTCCCCCGACCTGGTGGAGGCGGCCGGTTGGATGCTGGGGGCGGGGGCCCCGTTGGGACCGTTCCCGTTCGCGACGAGCTGGGTGCCGCGAGAACCATTGGTATGACGAGAGCTGGATCTCGATCTTGCCATCGCTGTGGATCAACGATAGTGGGGAGAGCGCTTAAGCTTGTACAGCAGCTCTCAAGAAGAGCACCAATGATGGATTTAATTAATCCGGGGTGCGCCCGAATCACTAAATCCGGATAAGAGTATAAATAATAAATAATAGATGAGTAATACGAACGATATAGCAAAGGCCGTGAGACCGTAAATTATATTAAATGCCGTAGAATTGGCTATTACAATAGTATTTCAGGACAAAGTGTGTAAGTAGAATAGATCATGTCTTAACGAGACAAGGTGGGGGGTTTTTATACAACCCCCACCGCTAACCGCCACCCCCTAAGGCGGGGGGTGGTTGGATCCGAGTTGACCGCGCCCGGTCTCGCGACCGGGCCCATGTGGAGGTCGGCCCGGCCTCCAACGTGGCCCGTGCGGGGGCCACGTGGTGAGGCCTCGGCCGGGCGGGTACGTGGCGCCGCCCCGGGACCCGTTCTTTCTTCGCGCCCTCGGGTCGTTTCGGGTCGATTCCCAATATATCCGTCAACTTCTATCTATAATTTTATATATCCGATCAGAGCCACCGAGTTGTGAACTTCATTTTGAAACATTTATTCGATTAAGTCTTAATTATACATATCCATTCATCAATATGTATACATATGGGGATTTGCCTTTTAATCCACTTCCCTTAAACAAAAGTGTGATACCAACGACAGGGTAAATAGAAGGTTTCAAGATTATTATGTCCATGTGAGCTAAATGTGTTAAATATTAATGAAGACTTAATCATATAAAAACCAGACCTCAAACTTCAATGTCTCAGCCTTGAGATTATCATGTTATTAAGTCTACTTTGAATTCATGAAAAGTGAAACTAATTTATTCTAAAAAAAAAAAAAAATTAAAAGAAAATTGATATTTTAGTTATTTTAAAATAAGTAGAAATTAGGAATTTCATTTTTTTATAGGATTAAATGTTTACCACTAAATTCTTAAATAGCAATATTTAGCTTGTTCTCCTTGATTTGTTCATTATCAGTGGAGAGTTCGATGAGTTTATTCTAAATTTGTTTTATTGTTGTTGTGTACCCTTTGATTTTTACAAATGTGACCTTTTCAAGTGTCTTCATGATTTCATTCTTCGCGGCGTTGTCCAACTTTGCGAGAATGTGATCATCCTTTGTCCATTCGTCATAGGATTTTTGAACCCTAACTGGTCTCAAAAGTGGAGGTGGTGTCTCTTGTGATCTCGCGCGGGCAAGTGTTGTGGGTGCAATATTGATTTTTCTATCTTTATTCAGTGCTGAAAAATGTATTTAGAGTTTTGTTATCCTTTCTTCAAAATCTTAACTTCCTGCAAGTAGTTTGGAATAAGATCCATAGTTTGGTGCATTTTACAGAAGTTTAGCTACTTCACAAGTTTTGAAAATGATAAATTTTTGAGATCTACTCAAGTTGACAAGAAACAATAATTGATCTATTAGAAGAACCACTTTAATACCACTTGTTGATCTTGGTCAAGTAGAAAGTCTAGAAGGGTGTGGGTAGGGGAGGAGCATTGAATAGACTTTCTTAACGATTTATGAAATCATTTCAAAATAGCTCTAAGTCTGCTTGAATTTCGAAATCAAAGTTTTAATTTAAAACATTGGAAACAAGTTTCCTCGCACCAAAAATCTTGAGCTTGCATAAAAATTGAGTAGCTAAGTTTTGAAAGTTTTAACCGTGTTAGAGTAGTGTGTGTCAACGTATGGAGTTAGTATGCAGAGAAAGTAAATAGCGTAAATAAAATGACACACATTTTTATAGTGGTTCGGAAACATTCCTATTACACTATTATCGATGAGATTTCACTAAGTATTGAAATTTAATTTGAATCTTCTCGTTGTCCTCAACAAGTGGTAGTTATCTAAAAGCTACCACAATCCCCTAAAATTCGGTGCTGATATCAATTGCGTCAAGACCGTTTCCCTATTTGTCTTATAATAAACTCTCCAAAGTCAAAAAGAGTATAGTTGCCTCTGCTCATCTCTAATTTATTATCTTTTCCGTAGACCTATAGGTGTTAGACAATTTCTAATTATCCAACGGCTCCTTTTATTATTCTTGAATAAACTTCATATGAGTATGATCTTCTTTGAGCGTCCTTCAATGAATTAAAGTGTCATCGACTCCACTAGGTCAGGGATCAAACCTGTTGGAATAAATGCTTGTATACTATAATACATTAGAGATACAACAATAATACAGAATACAACAGGGAACAAAATCTGGATCATTTGATATCTTCAGGCGTGTAATCACTTTCCTATAAACTTTAAATCTCCCTCTATAAAAGTAACAAGGTTCAAGATTTAATCTTATGGGATACAAGAAGATGAATGAAATTCTCAAGTTGCTTTGTTTGAGAATTTCCTGTAGAATTGTAAGCCTGTGAAATATCTTGGTGTCCTGCAAGTTGATTGTCTCCATCAATTGCGGGTTAATTTTCTCTGTGTTCTTCATATGTCTCTCCAAATATTTATATAAAATCAAATATTTATATAAAATATTTTGACTGTTAAAAGAGGTTATATGGAAGTTACTGACAGTTTAAAATTTAAACTTCCACAAGATATATCTTAAATGATATATCAGGCATGAGAAATAAAATTACATGTACCATGTACAACATGTATATTTTCATAAGATATGTACATTCACATGTTTTGATGAAATGCATTATAAGATATATATTATATGTATATATTTATAACTTTCATGCATGTCACCAAGCAAATATTATAAATATATAATATAATATAATACATATTATCAATGCAGTCGCACTTCATCATGTAAAGAGAAAATAATGTATATATTTATTCTTTACACATGCAGCACAAAGCCAACTAAAAATGCACCGAACCATGCAACTAATCATGCATCAAATCACAAAGGATTAATTCGTTGACACTTACGAATTGGCATTAAAACCAACGAGGCGAAACTTTGACCAAGTTAATCCATTCACCCGAGTCGAAGCTTGATTCATTCGTGCTCTAACGAATTGTGACCTTATTAATCATTACGATTCATTATGATTCGTTCACTCCTTCGACCGAAACAATCGATTCATTAATCAACGAATTGTACATTAATTTGTAATTAACAAATTATACATCAAATCGTTAAACAACGATTCGAAACCACCAAATTGATTAAAAGCATTGATTCGATACAACCGAATTGATTAATGCATTGATTCGTTAAAACTAATGATTCGTTAACACCAACGAATCATTAAACTTCGGTTCCAAATCATTTTTCCCAACTTACTTTCTACTAAACTAAAATAATATTTATAACTCCACAACTCCAAATATTATTTAAGCTTTCATGGGGTAGTCCACCTGAAACATTAATCTCCATACTATATAAATTTCCAACATTCCTCCTCCATTTATATAGTAAAAATTAATACTGTACCAAGATAAATCCAAAACTCATGCATAAATGAAAGTGTCTTAGAGATTGAACTTTCACATAGTATTGTATGCGTTACATTAATTCGGATTGCAATGATGGACGAACCTTGAATCACGCAGTCTCTTTGAAGAAACGTAGATATAACACACACAAGTTTTACAGTCATTACAACTCACTGTAACTTGACACTATTACGGCCATGTGTCCGTATCCATTAATGAGCATGTACCAAGTAAAGCCCAAACTTGTTTGAAGCGACCACACTTCATGCTCACAAAGGCTAATCTTTTATATCATGCAGTGCACCTTGCATTTTTTCACAAGATCAGTTAAGAGTAAAAACTCATCCCTACAACAATGCAGAACCAAGCATCACCTTTTTCTTGGGATACAATTTTTAATTTAAACTTTTGATGCTTGCAATCACAAAATGAAGTACTCATCTACATTGAACTCAAGGTCTAACGTAATAACTTAGACGTGAGTTGAGCTTTCCTTCACTTGCAATTTAATTTAGGCTTTACGTATCCCTTCCGATGAACCATGTCCCTTGCAAGGACTCTTGCAAACGAATCCGTTAAAATAAACCGGGACCGTACAAAGTCCAGTGCTACAACAAAATAACTTAGGAGCTCCCGCACATAGCTATATCGCATGTCTGTGTCTTAACTTGCCATTATAACTTATTGTTATATGCTTTGGCCAGTGTAGTAGCGCTGTCACAATGTACTAAAACTGGTGACATCGATTTTGGCCAAACCAGAAACTTAATAATTAAATTCCTTAGCCAATCAACTTATTTACATGCCGAAGCCAACGCAAGAAATTCAGATGCTGTAGTTTAAAAGACAACTTCGCCTTTAGAAATCCATAAAACAACACCTTCTCCAAGCAGAAATATCCATCTACTAATTGAGGAACAAGTTTCATGATTAGACATTCAACTGGCATTAGAAAATCTTTTCAGGATGGAAATTTCTATTAAATATACTACACCATAATTAATGGTTTTATTCAAGTATATCAAAATTCCTTTCAATCCCATCCACTTAGCCAACAGAACATGATGATAGATAAAATTTTAAAATTCTATCAATGAACCTGTGAAATAAAATATTTGATTGATTATACCGGCACCCACTTTATAGGTTCATAGTCAATAAATATTTATTTCCTGCAAATTCCACCAAGAATTTAAATCACCATGTTGAACTCATTAATAGTGAGTGATTCCTTAAATAAAAAAAAAAATTAATCCTCTTTCATTTGAGACATTATCAACTTTGGAGAATAAACCATTTTGATTTTAAGCTTTTAACTTTTCATGTTTCTTCTAAACTGAAGAATAATACAATTTTAAATCATAATCCATGATTTAAACTTAAACTTTATTTTCATTGTCAATTTCCATACTAGATAAACTAGTATGATTTATTCCTTTCATAATCTTGTAGATAAATTTCGCCCATTTGAATTTTATTCCTTTCATAATGCCGTCCATTAAGCATACTGTTGATGCGGTCAAATCTTCAGTACTTCCTAGTTTGTGTTCAAGAATC